GTGGTGCGAAAGGCTGGATCCCCTGTTTATTACTAATTGTGTCCCACCAGTTGGGAAGGATTTTTCTGATTTCCTGTTTAGAGATGGCGATTACTAGGACAAGAAACAGGGGTCTAAACAACAATTTCTAACCCATCCCGATTCTTTTCAGAAAAATGTATTGGCTGGAGTTCTGTTTTTTAGCAGTTCTGGGTATGAATATTTATCAGTTTTGAGTTTGATTTATGTAGAGACTCGGCCTTAAACTGAAGTGTTCCTAGTTAAATTTAGGCCTCTTCCACATGGAGCAGACTCCACCAGGAGTCAGCTTGCACAGCAGAGATCGCCCACTGAACCCTGCTGAGCAGGCAGATTGCTGGTCCATGTCCATTCTGCTTATGCAGAACAGAAGCAGACAGCTCTCCTCTATAGGCTGCTGAATGTAAACAAATTGCCTGTCTGTTTTACATTGACTGCCATCTGCTCCTCTACAAGGAAGGGGAATGGATTCCTATCCATCTGTTTTTAGCGGATTGGATTGGATGCGGGCGGGTGTAAAAACATACATGTCCATTTACAACCACCGATCAGTCCACTCGTGTGAAAGGGACCTTATTGTAGTTTTTCCAGCTAGACCGTAACCAGCCTGAACTTTGTTTTACAGTACCTGTGCTTGGTGGGTTTTTCCTAAGCTCAGGAAATTGATTATTTCTGCCTGCTGCTGTTTAGTTCTCTACCGTAGTTGAGGGATAACAATGTATGAGTTATGAATATTTAACCATTCTAGCCAGTTACTGAGGTTTTTTTCCTGTTGGGTAAACTGTTTGCTGCAAGCCTTTCTGAAGAGTCTCTCTCCCCTTAGCCTTGCCACAGCTGGGGGCTTGTGCTAGAGGCTCTGGGAATTTTAGCTACCCTGCTGGAAGGAACATCCAGATGAACAAAGTAGGAACATGGCTGACAGTATGGAACATCTTTAGAGAAGTCTTCTGTGCTAAAGAGTGTCCTGGGAGAGCTTAGGGGGCCTTGAATTTACAGAGGAAGATCCCTTGTCCTTCAACAATAGACTGACTGCTCTTATAGTTTCATATATTTTAACGATGACCGCTCTCATACTGGGGAATTAACTAAGATTTCTGCACCATTATAATGGCACAAGAAACTGGTGCAAGTTTAATGCTTTAACAGTTCTTTAGATCTTGGTGGGATCTCTGGGTTTGACCCACTGCACCTGTGTATATATAAAAGAGAACAGTGGGCTGCGTCGGGAGCTTTTTCCCTGCCCAGCCTAGTTCAAGGATGGGAGAGCCACACCCGGGAGGGGTACAATAATGTTGTTCTCTTCTACCTGTATGTAAAGTCATCAGAACTTGGGGTTCGCTCCAAAGACACCATCTGCTGGAGACTGCCTCTGAGGGACTCTGTAATTTTCATGGATTCCACCTTCGCAGGTATGGGCATCACAGTGGCTAAGCACTTCCGCCTGGCAGTTCCAGGGTCGTTGGTTTGAATCCCAGCCATGGCACCACCTGCCTAGAGTTTGCATGTTCTCCCTGTGCCTGCGTGGGTTTCCTCCGGGTACTCCGGTTTCCTCCCACACTCCAAAGACATGCTGGTAGGTTAATTGGTTCCTGTCTAAATTGGTCCTAGTATGTGTATGTATGAATCTAAGTTAGGGACCTTAGATTGTACACCCCTTGAGGGTTAGGGACTGATGTGAATGTACAATATGTATGTAAAGCACTGCGTAAATTGATGGCGCTATATAAGTACCTGTAATAAATGATGGGACAGCACATAGCCTGAGTCTAATTACAGACTTCGGAACAGACTGTGTCATGTTGGACTCTGTACTGTCTACACTTTATTCAATAAAGCATTTAAACTTTACTTTTTGCCTGGTGTGAAGTTACTCAAAGAGGTGTCATGCAACTAACCGGAACAACTTTGCACTTAGTCTACAGCCTGGGTCATTAGTACATGGGGTATGAAGAGTCACTGCTAGTTATATATGTGGTTGCCATGAGCAATGAAGGAACACTCAGCAAGTAGCCTGTCATAAACATGTACCTGTTATAGGTGGAATTGCCTCTAGCTGAGAGGGAGATATTGTCTTCACCTCTTACGCTGCGTTTCATAATGTAACTGCATTGCAGAGGTATGAAAGTTCAACAGATATGTCAAGTACACGGTGGAGACTGCGCTATGTGCACGGTGGGGTTCCATGCTGCTACTGAGAGCGGTAGTGGAAAACGCTGGACATGTTGCTGTGATCAGAGTTCGGCGCAGCCTGTCTAATTGCAAGCCACAGTGGGAAGATGTACATTTACATGGAGACCCGAGGGTTAATTAGAGAACAGTTGTTTTGTACAAATGTGTATGGTGTATTGGTCATCTCTAAAGCTCAAGGTTGAGTATTCCCCCACATTGGTCTCGACCTGGTCCTAAGGGATTGATGAAACGGCACTGAGTAAAGGTACCTCCTGTGAGAATTAGTGTGATCCTGACTTAGGTAATTATAACAAAATTGGTGCTGCGCTCCCACACTTGTACTTATATAAATAATTAAGTCAAAATGAGGTCATGTGATTAGTGACGCAACTAGTCGGTCGAGACGACGAGAGACGGAGACATGGTGACATCACTTCCTATGAGGATCTATGAACATTTTTTTTCTCATAACACATGTGAGTGAGCATTTTATAGTATTTTTTTTACATCAATTAATGAAACAATATTACACGATGGTAGGATTCTTCTTGTTTTATAAACATCAATGAGGAAGCTGAGGTACAATTAGATCATATGAAAACCATCCGGATAGCAGAAGTTCTGTAAGTTCTAAAGGGGGATACCACCACTGTTTGTGATACCGAATCTGACGTGGAGGATTGAGCGGTTGGCTGTGCTTAACCTCCTTAGCGGTAATCCCGAGTGTAGCTCGGGGTAAAATTTCTATACCAAAAGCGGTAACCCCGAGCTACACTCGGCCTTACCATGCGGCGCTGCTCTGGGGGTCCCTGCAGCACTTACCTTGTCCTTCGCTCCCGCGATGTGTCCCCTGCAGCGTCCCCGGCCATCTCCTCTGGCCGATGCCGGCATCCGGCTTCTGTGTTCCGGTACCTGTGACGTCGGGACGTACGGGCGCCGGAACTGGCGGGAAATTTGAAATTTTTTAAAAAAATTTCATTTTTGCTGTCATTGCGGTTTCAATGCATTTCACATATATTTTGTCCCTACTGCTTTTTCCTGTGCCCTGCCTGCATTTTGAATGTTCTTTCTGCCTGGAAACTGAGAAAAGTCCATGGCGTCCAAAAAGCGTCCCTTTACGTCAAAAGCGGTTTTAGAGCAGCGATAGTAAATCAGAACCATTTGCAGAATTGAGTGATAATTATTTGTGGGGAAATTCGTCATCAGACACTGAACGATTTTGCGACTTTACTCAGCGATGTGCGAATTTGCCTCTGTATTTCAAATTTCAGTGTTTTTGGTTTGATTATATTATTGAATTAAATTTATTATTATATTATTATTTTTTTTATGATTATTTATTAAATTATGATTTCGTGTTTCAAATTTTATCATATCCGTAATGTTTATTAGACTCTTGTTCGGACAGATTTCAGTGAGTTATTCCTAAAAATTACAGCCTACAATAAAAAAACTACATATTTCCATGCAAAAAAATGGTACCGCTTTCAGCACAAAAAATTGGAAAGAATCATACCGCCAAGGAGGTTAATCGCAAAAAAGCGTTTTGACCTTGTGGGGTCGCTTCATGAAGGTGAGGGGGCAATCTTACCGGTGAAGGATTACACTTTTTGTTCACCTGCCAGATTTATATTTATCGCTGGAGGTTTCTATATATCCAGCCATATTGAAGATTGCACATATGGACAATTTGTTTTTTGTTTATTAATAATTGGTGGCATGTGTGGACTTTTTTATAAATTGATTTAAGTTATGTGTTTATCATAGTGTCACTGGATTTTCATTTGTGGATTCACTCAATATTTGATTTAAATTTTTTATTTTTTTTAAATTTTATTCATATAGTAGTATAGTCCCAAGTTTGGGGACTAGAGCATGGCAATTTACACTTTGGTACATGTGGGCACTTGTTTAGTGATAGTCGCACATTTATGTTGAAGGATTCATTATAGTCCTTGTAGATTGTCTTATAGTCACGATTAATTTATCCTGACCATCCTATTTGTTTCTATAGCCACAATAGTGCCATTTGTCAGTTTAATTCCACTGTACCTTTGGGCATTCATTTATGCCAAGTGTTTTATCACGTGTGGTTTAGTACATGTTTGTGATTTCACCCTGTTTAGGGATACAAGTGGGTTTATGTATTGTGTTTTTCACATTTATATGTTATTTCATATGGTTTATCAAACTGTATAAGATTGTATAATAATATGAAGAATTGAGTTTGTGATAATTATAATATTCACTAGGGGTGTAATTGAAACCTCATTTTGATTTAATCATTTATATAAGTACAAGTGTGGGAGCGCAGCACCAATTTTGGTATAATTTTGATCCCATTCTATCCAGGTGTATAACAAGGTGTCAGCGGCAACCCATTCCTAGAACAATAGTTTATTCAGGGTAGCGCAGGTGGTTCTCCATTGTTTTTTATCCTGTCTTAGTTGCCTAGCATAGCCCAGAAGAACCCATCCTTGGGTAGGTCTTTCATGTTTCCCATGCTTGTCATACAACTATTTGATTGGAAACATGAAGGACTTGACTATCATCCCATCAGCCCTACCCTGGCAACATAGAAGATATCCATCCTAGCCTGGCATTCACCTGGTACAGCTGGCAAGCTAAATTGTGTTGTACAGAATCATGCAATGATACAAAAACTCCCTGGGAAAAGCTTAAACTGAGTGATATTTGGCACAGATACAGTGTTTTGAATAGCATTCGCTATACCCTGGCTGATTTTTCCTCGTTGTTTAGTTATGCTTTTTCAGACCTGATAGCTGTCTTTCTTGCAGATTGGAGCGTCACTCATGTCCAGCAATGTTGGCAGCACTTTGTTTGTTGGAATGGCAAGCTCTGGAGCATCAGGAGGCTTGGCGGTTGGAGGCTTTGAATGGAATGTAAGAAAGGGTCTCATGTTTTTTGTTTTTAATACTGACCTGTAATATCCCCCCAGTAAACCTGTATCTATATTTCTGATGTCTAGCTGTGAAAATGTATTTATTACCTATGAATCCTAAAGTTTTTTTTTGTTTTCAATTTGTAGCCACAGAGGGCAGTGGGCAAATGTCTGTGTCCACTGTGTTCATAATCTGCTGTGGCTAAGGCCAGTGCAACAACTGACAAACCCCGACCCTTGAGGGAAAAATTTAGTCTGCAGCCCCTTTAAATTTATACTGGAATAAACTTTTAACCTTCATTACCAAAGAAAACTACTATTAATCTTTACTACCATAAAAACCAATATTAACAGCCCAACAAGCTTAGTCTTAAAGACCCAAACAAGATCTTACACCAACCAGATTAGTCTATCAACCGCGGTCCACCCACATGGTGAGCAGCATTACCCCATGGCATTTTCAAGGTACTCAGATATACAATGTCTATATCAAATTATATTTTCATTTATGGATTCTAACATTAAACAGTAAGGGCTCTTTCACATAGTTGGGGGACAGTAAAACCCCATGGTTGAGTTTCGGTTTTGTAGAGCCAGCAGCTGGGGATGTAGTAATAGTAGGATTTGTACCTCCTTGTGTTTTTATTGAGCATAGTGCCTTCCAAGCATGACATATTCAAGTGAATGGGGTTACTCTGGAAGCACCCTGAAGTGGTTGCGGTACGTTATTGGTGGCTGAAGGGGTTTAAAGCAGGCAGTGAGGAGGAGATATAGAACCTCCTCACTGCCTCTCAAATGCTTTCTGAAGAGCGATCTGAATGCAAAACCAAAGCAAATGTGAAAGAGCCCCAACGGAAAAATGTGTGAAAGCAAAAATCTGTCTCGTGATGGCAGCATATGATACAATGTACAAGTTGCCAATCATACATGTGCTTTTCCACTAGGCTACTTGGGTGTTGATCGCCCTTGGCTGGATATTTATGCCTGTCTACATCGCTTCTGGTGTAATCACCATGCCGGAGTATTTGAAAAAACGTTTTGGTGGTCACCGCATCCAAATGTATATGTCGGTGCTTTCTCTCCTTCTCTACATACTTACTAAAATATCGGTGAGTGTAACCAATGGCACAGGAGTATTCGGAATGGTTCTGTTAAAACTAAATACTAAAAGATGAGTAGATTGTCTCACACAGTTTTTGTGTTTCAGACGGATATATACGCGGGAGCGCTCTTCATTCAGGTCGCTCTAGGCTGGGACATTTACTTGTCTACAATTATACTGGTCGTTGTTACAGCAATTTTCACCATCGCAGGTTAATATAAAAGTACTGGTTGAGTTTATCACACCACAAGATCTATGCCCCACCGAAGAAATAACATCTGTACCCATCCTTCACTACATTATTAGTCCCTAGTGCAGGTCCCTGTTGCCCCATAGTTCCTCCCAGGGGTGGACTGACCATTTGGAAACTTGGGGACCGCCCGAGGGCCCGGGGTCAGTAGGGGGCCCCATGAGATGCCCCTGGTACTTTTTTTTTTTTTTTTTCTCCATAGGCTTTTTTGAGTTTGGGCAAGGACACGGGAGCCCCATGAGGGAGTTGTCAGTCCACCCCTGGTTCCTCCTTTCATTCTTTTAGGAACTGCTTCGGCTTGGTAAGTGGCAGTGAAATGTTTGCTTCTCTACAGTGGTCCTAGCCGTGTAAAATAAGGGGAACCTAAAGAATAATGGTGCCAATGTTTCCAACAGTTATTTTTGCTCATGATCACCAGGGACCTAAACCATACATTACCTGTAATTTTGAGGGTTTTTTTTTTTTTGTACTAGTTTTTGGGGTTGTTTGCTATTTTTTTCTATCCTCCATTTTACAGGTGGGCTGACAGCTGTAATCTACACAGACACTTTGCAAGCTATCATCATTGTGATTGGTGCCCTCACACTCACCTTCATATGTAAGTACATTTCTAGTTTAAAATGGAGCCTTGCAGCCCCATACCAGTTATATTGTTTTTACCCTGAATAACCAACCTTCTTCAATCAGCGCAATCTATCACACGTGGCAAAAAATCTAATACATACAACAAACATTCTATATAAACATTAAATGAAATAATATGAAAACAATATAGAACAAACCCACCCCCTTGTTGCTTGCTGAACAGAGACATGCCCGGAGCTTTGAAAGAAGAGAATAAGTGCAGGGCATACATGGCAGGGTGGAAGTAAAACCTGGCAGGATAGGGTTAAGGTGCTGTTGATATGAAATTAGAGCACACTTACCGGATTGGAGGAGTGGGCAGGGTGATGGGAGTAGCTGAAGAGAGCAGTTGGTGGGGTGGAGTGAAGGGCATCACTTGCAAGCTGAAAATCGTTGGTGGAACGTCTGTCTAGCTGACTACTCCGTTTCTGCATACGGAGAATAATACGATGAGTGACTTGGATCAGCTCTTAACCCAGCTTCGAGCTGGCTGCTGCAGTACATGGCCAAGATTGGGTTCAGTGCGCAGTGAGAATGGGAGGACGTCATATGACATCCTCCCAGAACGAGAGAACAACCTTGCACCCATCATATTACTATATGGCGGGTGGCAGGTGGTTAAATAAGAAAACACATATACTTCATTACCCTTTAAAGTGTCTTTAAACACACATCATTAAAAACTAATACTAAATGCTATATTACATGCTGCGTATCCCACTCGTTTATTATGGGATTCGTTTTCTGTATTCTGCAGATCTGTCTCCCCCTCCTGTCCATGTCCCCACTGTAGCTGGGGATTCTGCAGAACAGTGTTGACAGCTAGTGCACATGCTCAGTTTTCAGTGTTTTTCTACCCTGAGCATTTCCACCCTATCACTAACCAGTTAAACACAAAGGTGGGATATTACATCTTGATTGATGGAGGCTTCACTTCTCTGTTCTACAACAAAGGCTGGAGGGGCGCAACACAGCCTGTGACTGGCAGAAATACATCCACGCCATGTTTTTGATTTCAAATATTTATTTGTATGACAATTTAAAACCGTTTATTGATATTTATTTTTACCCTGTATCCAAAATGCTGTGTTTTTTTATTTTTTTTTTTTTTTTTGAACACGCGATCAATAGCAGAGGACTAGAAGCTCCTCCTGCCACTGTCCCTGTAGAACGGAGTCATACTACAGCTGCATATAGATTAAGAAAATTTTTTTTTTATTCTTAAAATATTTACAGTGCCATCATTCGCATGCAAAAAGGGGCAATGTAAATTAAACTGTGTGCATTTTAGTATCACTTTAACCAACTGTGGACCACGCACTGTACATATGCTGTGACAGTGTGGGCCCGCTGCACTGGATCACGTACATGTATGTGGTCCAGCATTTTTGGGTAGGGGGCACTTGCTCTCACCACCCTGACTGTGCTGTCATTCACTACAGCACAAGCAGATCAGCGGGTCCCGGGCAAAGACTTATGGCCGGGACCTGCTGATTGGCATAGCAAATGACAGAAAAGATCCCTGTGTTAGTAAACCTCACAGGGCACTCTACAGATAGCAGCGATGTGCCATTTTATTTCTCCCTGCAAGGCAGGGAGTAAAAACTGGCACATTGCTTAGTAAAACCAGCACATATATCACACAGTAATCATTGTTAGGCACACAGCTAACACTTTGATTGCCCCTAAGAGTTAACCCCTTCCTAGCTAGTGTCATTAGTACAGTGACAGTGTATATTATTAGCACTGTTCACTGTTATTATTATTATACAGGAATTATATAGCACCAACAGTTTGCTCAGCACTTTACAATATAAAGGGAGACAATACAGCAATGATACATTTCAATACAAAAGGGTTAGGAGGGGCCTGCTCCTTGGAGCTTACAATCTAAGAGTGAGGGGCTGGTGGTACAAAAGGTAATAACTGTGGGGGATGAACTGATAGGAGGAATAGAGGATTCTGTTATTAGTTGAAGGCAAAATAGGCTTTCCCTATATTCCATATAAGAGAGAGGTTTTCAGAGATCGCCTAAAAGTGGGTGATAGTCAGATTGGGGTAGAGAGTTCCAGAGAATGGGGGAGGCTCTGGAGAATTCCTGGAGACAAGCATGGGAGGAGCCAAGGGAGCTAGAGAGCAGGAGGTCATGGGAGGAGCGGAGAGGACGGTTTGGTGATATTTGGAGAAAACATTGGTGATGTAATTTGCAGCAGAGTTATAAATGGCTTTATATGTTATTGTTAATGTTTTGAATTTTATTTGTTGGGCAATGGGAAGCCAGTGGAGGGATTGGCAGAGAGGGATGGCAGATACAGAACGGTTAGTAAGGTGAATGAGTCTGGCAGCAGCATTCATGATAGATTTTAGAGGGGATAGCCTGCGATAAGGTAGGCCAATGAGGAGGGAGTTACAATAGTCAAGTCGATAGATAACAAGGGAGAGAATAAGTTGCTTAGTGGTTTCCGAGGTTAAAAACGGGCGTATCTTGGAGATGTTGTGGAGGTGAAGTCTAAAAGATTTGGACAGTGATTTGAATTTGGGGCTGAAAGGACAGATGGGTGTCTAGGTTTACACCTAGTACCCTGGCATGAGGGGAGGGACTGATGATTGTGTTATTGATCTTGATGGAGAAGTCAGGGGAGGGGGCATGGGCTGAAGGGAACAGTATGAGCTCCATTTTGGAAAGATTGTTTGAGGAAGTGGAGTAACATCCATGCTGATATGTCACTTAGTAGGTTAGTAATGCGAGATTAGACTGAAGAGGCGAGGTGAGGAGTAGAAAGTCGGTGGGGTTTAGCAAGGGCTTTTAAAGTAATGGGAGTAATCTGTGCCTGCTTTAGAGGGGTGGGAAAGAATGTGAGTGAGGGAGCATAGGACAGAAGAGGGTGACCGTAGTAGTTGAGTGGGGACAGGATCCAGGGGGCAGGTGGTGAGATGGGCTTCTGAGAGCTTTAGTGGCCTCTTTGGTAGCAGCAAGGTCAAAAGAGGAAAGTGTTGAGGGAGATTTAGTATAAGGTATGCTAAGTGGGATGGATGTCTGTGTAGCAGAGATGCCCCTACGAATTGCATCAATCTTGTTATTGAAATGATTTGCAATCTCATAAGCAGTGAGTGAGGTACTGGGTGGACGTGGAGGTGGAGAAAGTAGAGTTAAAAGTAGAGAAGAGACGACGAGGACTGGACGACAAGGTATTCATAAGAGTGACGAAGTGTATTAGTGTTAGTCAGTTCCCATAAAGCAGATTGCCTGCCGCACTATCACAGTCCCACTATAAGTCGCTGATCACCACCATTACTAATATAAATAAATACAAATCCTATTATGTATATACCATAATTTTTGTAGATGCTATAAATTTCATGCAAACAATTTTAAAATATATTTATTGGGATTTTTTTCTACCAAAGACATGTAGCAGAATACATTTTTTGTAGCAAAACATATCTTTTTTTTCATTTCTATAATAAATGAAAAACCCAGTGGTGATCAAATACCACCAAAAGAAAGCTTTATTTGTGTGATAAAAATAATATAAATAGTTTTGCATGACCGTGCAATTGCCAGTTAAAGTAGCACAGTGCAGAATAGCAAAAAAATGCCCTGGTCATGAAGGTACAAACTTCTGGAGTTTTAACTGGTTAAGGAAAACCCGCACTTTGCCCATTGGTACTGGCAATTAAGTTACCCATACCTTATCACAGTGTACAATTTTACTCTGATTACCATTGTTTATAACCATACCTTCATTTTTTTTTTTTTTTTTTTTTTTATTATTTTTTTTTAGCTTTTCACAAGGTTGGCTGGTACCCAGGTCTGGAGATGAAATATATGGAAGCCATACCTCAAGTGATCATCCCTAACACAACATGTCATTTGCCCCGCAATGATGCCTTCCATATATTACGTGACCCGATCACTGGCGACCTGCCCTGGCCTGGCCTTATATTTGGTGTGACCACCTTATCCTTATTTGCTTGGTGTAATGATCAGGTAAACTAACCCATGGACTCCACCAATATTGTACTGTACTTAGAAGGCCTGATTTGGCCCCTTTGCTTGCCTTTATCTGGCCCTTGGGGCACCCTTCCTCCCACAGACACCGGTGAAGTGGCACTCTTCCTCCCACAGACACCAGTGAAGGGGCACTAATCCTCCCTGGAATACCAACAATGGGAGATTATTCCTCCCACTAGAACCAAGGATGGGGCATTGTTTACTCCAATTGACACTGGGGCATTTAAACTCCCAAAGGCCACAGTCCGACCCCACTAAAGCCTGATGGACCTTAAACCGGCCCTTTGTTTAGAAAGCTTGAAGACTGCTTTAGAGTTTACTCAGAATGGTGCAAAAAACAAACATCCTTTGAACACCAGTTCTGCAGATGAAAACTTTATAAGCGTGCAACTTAACCCACTGTTTTTAATGTGAATTGTTAGGCAGGGTCAATTTATTTTGCAGGCTAGCTGGTAAGTGTGCTGGGAAATATACTGCTTGTGTTAGGAGTGGTCAGCGGAAAATAGCCAGCCTGGTTGAAGCTGACAGGCTATAGTATTTTACAACTGCGGTGAGCAGAAGATCCTCTCAGAATACACAGTGCATCGAACCTTTAAGACATATGGGATTCACCAGCAGAAGATCAAGACATCTGTCAATCAAGAACCAGAACCTGAGACTGCAATGGTCTCAGAATCACAAAAACTGGTCAAATGAAGACTAGCCTGGATGAATCTCAAAGTTTGCTGAGGCGGACAGATTAAGGCCAGTATGAATCTATTGAATCCAATAAAATGCCTTTGGAAAGTGGCAGAACAGGAGATGTACAGCTGACAAATCTGTCATGAAAAAATGTCAACATAAACCATAACCACACAGGGATTTTTTTTTTTTTTTGAGTGGAACCCATGCCATGAAGGATTGAGGCTGTGCAAAATTGTAGTCATACCTAATACTATTATATTGTTTCTAATAAATTGCTTGTTGATTGTATTTTCTTTATATGCGGGTGGGAAGTATGAATAATAACCCTGTCTTTTCTTATGAGAACTGCTCCTATCCTTAAGCTGTTGTGGCCTCCACTGTGAACATACGTGCAGTCAGGTTACATGCATTGCAACAGCATCTGTACTTTGTGCACATAGTGACTCTTTTGTGCACCATCTACTGGTTATTTCAGAAAACATAAGAGAAAAGAATGAGACAACATAGATGTTTGAAACATCTTTATTAGGTACACCTGTTACGTAGCTGCATGGTTAGTATGGCTGAAAAAAGATTTATAGATTTTTTATATGTATATGTTAGGTCCGTATATATTGGGACAATATATTGGGACACAGGCACAATTTTTTTAGTTTTTTTCAGGTATTTCCCAAAACATATTCAAGCTATAGTCCTATAATGGATATGGGCTGAAAGTGCACACTCTCAGGTTTAATTTGAGGGTATGTACATCCAAATTTTAGAAGGCAGGGTTTAGGACTTACAGCTCTTAAGAGTAGCCATCCCCCGTTTTTCAAGGGACCAAATGTAACTGGACAATTTAATCAAAGGCTGTTTCATGGCCAGGTGTTTGCTATTCCTTTTATGATTTCTTCATCAATAAAGCAGGTAAAAGGTCTGGAGTTGATTCTAAGTGTAGTATTTGCATTTGTAATCTATTGGTGAACCTACATCATGCGTGCAAAGGAGCTGTCCATGCAAGTGAAACAGGCCATTGTAAAGTTTCAAAAACAAAACAAATCCATCAGAGAGATAGCAGCAACATTAGGAGTGGCCAAATCAAAAGTTAGGTACATTCTGAGGAAAGAAGAACGCACTGGTGAGCTCAGTAACATAAAAAGGCATGGACATCCATGGAAGACAACAGTGATGGATGATCGCAGGATCCTCTCTATGGTAAAGAAAAACCCATTCACAACATCCAGACAAGTGAAGGACACTCTCCAGGAGGTGGGCATATCATTGCCAAAGTCTGCAATCAAGAGAAGACTTCACAAGAGCAAATACAGGAGGGTTCACCACAAGGTGCAAACCATTCATAAGCCTGAAGAATAGAAAATCCAGATTAGACTTTGCCAAAAAAAAATCTTCAAAAAGCCAGACCAGTTCTGGAAAAGCATTCTTTGGATGGCTGAAACTAAGATTAATCTGTACCAGAATGATGGGAAGAAAAGTGTGAAGTAGGCTTGGAACAGCTCATGATCTAAAGCACAGAACATCATCTGTAAAACATGGTGGAGGCAGTGTGATAGCATGGCCATGAATGGCTTCCAGTGGCACTGGGTCATTGGTGTTTATTGATGATGTGACAAAAGAGAGAAGCAGCCGGATGAATTCTGCAGTGTTTAGAGATATACTGTCAGCCCAGATTCAGCCAAATCAGCAAAGTTGTTTGGACGGCGCTTCACAGTACACATGGACAATGATCCAAAACACACTGCAAAAGCAACCCAAGAGCCTTTGAAGGAAAAGAAGTGGAATGTTCTGCAATATCCAAGTCAATCACCTGATCTCAACCCAATTGAGCATGCATTTCACTTGCTGAAGGAAAAACTAAAGGCAGAAAGACCACCGAACCAAGAGCAACTGAAGACAGCTGCAGTTGGAGCCTGGCAAAGCATCAGAAAGGAGGAAACCCAGACTTTGGTAATGTCCATGGGTTCCAGACTTCAGGCAGTCATTGCCAGTAAAGGATTCTCAACAAAATATTGAAAATGAATATAAATCATAAATAAAATGTTCATTTGTCCAATTACATTTGAGCTCCTGAAAATGGAGGGACTGTGTATAAAAATGGTTGCAGTTCCTAAAATGTGTACTTGATATTTATGTTCAACCCCTTGAATTCAAGCTGAAAGTCTGCAATTCAAATTCATTTGGATTGTTTAATTTTAAATTTATTATGGTGGCATACAGAACCAAAAGTATTTAAATTGTGCCTGTGTCCAAATATATATGGAACTAACTGTGTATGTGTATGTACACAAATATCAGTTTTGAGTGAAGTAATGACTTTTCTTTAATTTTCTCCTAGATTATGGTGCAGAGATCTCTGTCAGCTAAGAACCTCTCCCATGCCAAAGGAGGATCCATTCTTGCCGGTTACTTGAAGCTGTTGCCTATGTTCTTTGTTGTAATGCCAGGCATGATTAGCAGGGCCCTATATCCAGGTATACGTTTAACTGACCTATTTGTTTGAATTGGCGTTTTAAGCCCAACCCTGACTTGTCAAACCACACCAGTTCCCATCAAAAGTACTGTGATTCTCAACAATATTATATGTCTTCTATATAATGGACATTTATAAGTTCTACAGTAGTAGTGACATTGCTAAGCACCCCCCTTTATCAATGGCTCAAGACGAGCAGGTTTTGTAGGTACTCCTGTCTTATAAATATGCAATTCTTCATTACCATGTTGTACCATCTAGCATTATGTACGTGTATGAACCCCTCTAAAGAAATCCTATTCACTTAGTGGAACAACTGGAATGGTATGCTGCTGTGTGATTCATAACATGATGAACAGTGGCTTGTTCTATTGATGGCACCTCCTAATAAGGAAAAAACACTGATCTGATCAAGATAAACTATCTTCTTGCTCACATGCAGAAAGAGCTTTGAAAAGAGAGAAATATGCATTAAAATAAAAGCTCACCTACACTGCAGGCAGATAGGCACCTAGTTCCCATGCTGTGCCTGTTACCAGGGGCTCTTCATTGAAGTGAATGAGGACCGTAGTGTCCTATTCCACCAGACTCTGCAGGACACCTACATTTTGAATTCTAGGCAAACCGCTAAATAACAAAAACTGAAACATTTTATATGGGAACTGTGTTTACAACAAAGAGATGTGATACAGAATTCATTTCTGCCCTCTGCAGCCGAACAGTAAAGTTCAGTCCCAAACTGCCCACAACTTGTTGATTTGACAATGAGTCCTCATGCACACGGGACCATAGGTGTATTTACCACAAGGCAAACAAGGTACTTGCCTAGGGCGGCATTTTTCAGGGGGGCAGCACTTACCCACAGAAGAAGGGAGGAAAGAAGGGGCACGCGCACCATGAGAACCAGGTGGGATCTGAGAGAGGTTGCGGGCTGCTTGATGATGTATGTACAGGCTGGCTCTTGTTCCCAGGGATGTCCGGAGCTGTGGAGATCAGTGTCTCTGTATCGCCGGAGGGTGGGGGGTAGTGGAAGACTCTCCCAGGTGGGAGGCAGGGGTGTTGTTGGCCAATGTCATTATCTCTCCATGGGAGGGGGAAGGGGAGGTTGTGTTGGTCGCTGTCCATGGGGGCAGACTATTTTTGTGTTGCCTAGGGCAGCACAAAACCTAAATACACGACTGCACGGACGTTTTGATAATGTTGGTAACGTTAGCTGTGTAAAATTACGTTAAAAACGTGAGTTTTTTAGCGTTTTGTGGCATTTTCCCGCGTTTTTCCACATTTGTGTTCTTTAGCGTTTTTTTTTTATAGAAAAAATAACAAACCTGTCTATACTTACCTACTCTGTGCAGTGGTTTTGCACAGAGCAGCCCAGATCCTTTTCTCTGGTCCCCCATCAGCGTTCCTGGCCCCTCCCTCAGCTTGCTATGGGGGCACCCACTGCTCCATGTGTCTGTTCACATACGGAGCTGTGGCTTGGTCCCGCCCCCTCTCTCCTCATTAGTTCACTGACTGTGATTGACAGCAGTGGGAGTCAATGGCTCCCGCTTCTGTCTCAGCCAATCAGGATAGGGAGTCCCAGGATAGCTGAGACTCCAGTGCACATCGCTGGATGGAGAGGGGAATTAGGGGAGCTAGGGGAGATGCTGCACAGAAAAGGTTTTTCACCTTCATGCATAGAATGCCTTTAGAACCACTTTAACTACAGTTGTTCTCATGTCCTGCCCGATGAGGCTGTGCTGTGTGGCTGAGCTTTGTAAATCTCAGGACTGGGTGGACAGAAATATAATAAAATGGCTCCCATATTGGTATTTCATTTGAATATTTAGTTGTCTGAATGTCAATCACCTGTAATGCGAAGTAAAAGAAGACTGAAATCACAGGCTCTGCCAACACATCTAAATTAAACCTTTTTAAATCCATTATTGTGGATCTTTTCATTGTCAATGGATTAAATAAATCTATAGATGAACTGGAAATGTCTTTAAAATGATGACTCTTTTTTTCCTAGATGAAATTGGTTGTGTGGACCCGGCAGAATGTATGAAGTACTGCGGTTCTGAAATGGGCTGTGCAAACATTGCCTATCCCAAGCTGGTGATTACACTCCTGCCTGTAGGTAAGATGGCTCCACTCGGAGCAGATGTTGGGTGTTAGATATGCAATCTTTCGGAAATGCTATATTTTAATGGCAGTCATAGGCCAGTGCTTACAGCAGCAAGGCAGAGAGGACAGCACCAAGTCATAAAGTGTTATTAAACTCCTGACCCTGCATTCACTATATCTCGTCTCCCACCGTACACACAACATGGAAATGCAATTATTTGCATTTAACTGCTAAATACCTTTTCCAATCAGCAGAATATGGCAGTCTTGTGAATTTTATCAGTGTCCAACTGAGCACTAGTTAAAGCTTGCAGGAGGAGTTTTCTTTCTGCTCTAGGAGGATGCAAAACCCCTGACTAAATGTCTGTCTGACCTTTTCTGAGCTGGCGTGGCCAGCAGGCCCCTGTGCCCTACCTGGAAAGTAATCTGTGAGCAGGCTGGAGATTCTCTATTAACATGCTATTGGAACGAACGCATAAAGGGCTTATGTACGTTGCTGTGTTTTAATGCATACGTTCCAACACACTACAATGCCTGTGTACTGGTTCGCCTTAATAAAAATAGCATCTGTGCCAAAATCAGTGCTGCAGTGCTTTTTCTGCATTTTAGTACATTGGGAGGCTCATAGAGCTCAGTGACTGCACATCAAAATGCATATAACATGCGCTGGTAGTAGGTATTAAGATGCCTTGGCCAACGGCTATTAAAGTGTTACCGAACCCAGGACCCTGCATTCACTATATCTGATCTACCACAGTACACAGAACATGGAAGTGCAATTATTTTAGTAAATATAAACTGCTAAATACCTTTTCTCATCAGACATTAGAGCTGTCTTGTGGCTTCTATCAGTGTTCAGCCAAGCACTAGCTAAAGCTTGTAGGTTGGGTCTTCTTTCTGCTCTAGGAGGATGCAAAACCCCTGACCTCTGTCTGGACAGTGCTGATTGGCCCTATACTGATCACATGCACTCTCCCAAGAAAAAAAAAACCTTTCTAGCAATACATACTAAATGAGCATGTGCAGAATGGCTACGGTTCAGTCTGTCTTATCAGGAGATAAGACGTGGACAGTAGAAGATGGGGAGGATCAGAGAAGACAGGATCAAACAGTCTTTTTACACAACGCAGAGGATTAACCCCTTAGGTTCCACAGTGAGTATAAGCAGCGTGCTTTACTGCATGGTTTAGTAACACTATAACATTTACAAAGTGTGATCATTTTTATCTAATTTTGTTTTTCCTATGTGCCTTCCATGTGTGTCTTGAATCTGCAAGAGAATTGTAGGGGGTGGAGGGGATGCAGTGAATGTTGTCTGGATCAAAAAACTCCCAACAGTTTAGTAAAGCATAAAACCATCAAAGGAACTTGTCAGGATACGGGCGCTGCTGTTGCTGATTCGTTTCGAGGATGCCCTGGGCAGTCATCCTGTTTCTGGCTATGTGTAACTCACTGACCATTAATAAACATGTTAGACGTCTAATACTGTATCTACACATGTGCTTGTTCCCTATGAATGACTTGCAGTGTCCTAAAGCAAGGATAAAGATAACAACATCCTGACTTCTCTTTCCTTTTGTAGATTGATGGCTTCACCTCTTTCCCAGTTCATCAGGAAAAGGGAACCCAATCTGTGCCTAATCTTGTGCACCAGCCCTCACATTTGTGACAGTTTTTTTTTCTCTGTGCTACTAATATTCATAAGACATGCAGGGCGATGCACGTGTATTCCATGCAGTCCCATTGGGGTGGCCATCTCATCCCTTTTAAAACCGAACACATAATAATTACACGGGTTTTGTGGCTGATTACGGCAGTAATTAAACTTGGTGTCTTATAAACTTGGTGTCTGCATTACATTTGCCCCAGAACCTGTGTAATTAATGTGTGCTCGTGTGTTTTTTTTTTTTTTTTTTTTTCAAATTCTTTATTTATGTAGACAGCACCACACTCACAAAACAGTGCAAAACATCTCCAGTATATACGTCAGAAGAAAAGGGGTAACACAATGCAATAACCAGCCAGCAGTAATACAAAAAGTAAACAATCGACAGTCAATAGTTTGGGGGGGGGGGGCAAACTAACTGCAGCTATGAGTGTTGGGGTCTGTCCATTTTTATAGAAAGTGTATATAAAGGAATAAGGAACAGAATGGAGTCGGAAACAAAAAGCTGGAAAAGAGACAAGGGGGGGGGGGGGGAGAGAGAAAAAAAAGGGGGCGGGGTTGGGGGAGGAAGAGGGAAAGGATGGGTACGGGATACCGGAGAAGGAAGGGAAGTCCAGCCTCCAAGGGTAAATTAATTCAGTCCAGAGAGGAGGAAACTATGTGTTCGGTTTTAAAGGGATGAGGTGGCCATCCTAAGTAACATTCAAGTCAGTTGGGACGCAGCGGCTGGGACTGCCCGCATGGGGATGCAGGAAACACCTCACATAGGGTTGCCACCTCATTCTTTTAACCCTTCCACTACAGAGTCGTTTTTGCATTTTTTGCACACAAGTTTTAAAAAAATCCTTTTAGGCCTGAATATTACACAAAACATTATATATTTTCTGAAAGCAGACACTTTAGAGAATAAAATCATGGTAGTTTTAAATTTTATATGCCACACGATATTGCAGCAAAGGTCTAGGAAATGCTAAATTTCAGTAAAACACCCACTAAAGTGAATTTTAACTTTAGCAAACAGACACAATAAATTACCCAAGTTTTTGGTAGAATAAAAAAGATGAGGCATTGTATATCTTTATTCAAATAGGTTAAAGTCTTGTGTATGTAGAAAGGACAATCCTCTCCTCAATACTGTTAGACGGTCAATTGTTAATGACATCTTAGGTTGGATACTTGCAAATCACTTTCCTGGGTAGTGTTCACGTCAGCCGGGCCTGTCATTTCTTCCCTCTCTTGGTGCCTGTGTATCCCCACTCCTCCCAATTTCTCAATTGCTGGGTGGAATAACCTAAAAAATTCCCACGATTTCTTCTAGGTGGTCTCGAAAAACATCTTCTACCTCATCCCCTCCTAGGGGCATAGTTGTATTCAGTTCTACTGTCACTTGAGTCACTCAGTCTTTCACTGCCATCATCATCAAAGCTACCAGAGTCCCTAAATGTGTCTGACTCTGGTCTCATAGATGTCCTAGAGGAGGTTATATATTTGCATGTCCATGAGTAGACTCTATCATTGACGAAATCCTCAGTCGCTTACAAATTTCCTATTTTTTTAGTTTTTATTGTCTCTTTTTTATGTGCCTCTACTCGTTTTTGTAACCTTTCCTCTAATCTCTTGAAGTCAGTGTGATCTTTAAAGTTAAGGATGTTGCTTTGTTCCTCCTTAAGTTGTTTATTTAGTTCACTAAATTGAGTTTTTGGAAAATCAAGGAGGTGCTGCATCATCCTTAACATATTCTCTGTCTGAAGGATATCCCAACCAGGGGCGGGCTGACCATTTGGAAACTCGGGCACTGCCCGAGGGCCCGGGGTCAGTAGGGGGCCCCATGAGTTGTCAGTCCGCCCCTGATCCCAACCCTGCATAAATTCTACATTTTTCTGTATGTGAGTGTGGTTTAATCATGATTCTAAGGCCCCTAACTGTGATCCTTTTTCTTAATGTACATCTCGAGACTAGCTACCTCCCACCAACATCTTGCGTGTTTCTTATAGACTCTGGCCATTTGCCTCATGTATATTTGTTTCTTTGCATGTAGTAGGTATCTCATTAGAGAATACCTCACTGGCTTCCAGGGAGAGTGAATCAAAATCAGTCTCCTTTTCAAGAAAACCAGCTCATGACCTATTTGACCTAGGCTAGAGGTCAAAATCTCAAATGAAGGCTATATAAATCAACTGTTGAACTAAGCACTAATTGTAAATCATCATCTTTGGCAAATAACAAATCTATACTGACCGAGGGTACATGTCCCTACGCACCATCTGGCCAATTGATGCATCTTGATAGACTCTGTACTGTATCTTCTCTAACCTTTCCAGTCCCCTATTATAAGCCATGTTCTTTTGAAATGCTTTACATCCGGGGTGTATCATGAAATCAGTGGACCCGTGTGCAATATTAAAAATGGGCACCAGGCAATGATAAAGAAGAAAATGTGGCTCTGAAAAGTGGGTGTGGTTTAAATGGTGCTTTTAAAATGAGTGTGTGGCTTAAAATGGGGTTTGGTTAAATAATGTCTGAGATGACTTACATCCACACAGAATGTAATGTTAAATAGGGAATGTACAGCGTGAAATGTATGACAGTGGGTAGTATGTACAGGGAGAGGAGTGCGGAGTGTATGGCGGTGGGTAGTATATGCAGGATGGTGTCATTAGGGCAGTGGCTGGTGTCAGTAGTACTTTATTTTTATTATTTATTTTTACAATTTGTATTTTTTTTTTACAATTTAATGTTTTATTATTTTTATCATTTTTCAAAATGCTTTTGGGTGGCAAGTGGATGGTGTCAGTAGAGCAATGAAGTGGGTGTCAGAATTTCTTTTTTTTTTTTTTTTTTAATTTTTTAAAGTTTTTTTGCAATTTTTTTATTTTCAGATTTTTTTTTTCACAATGATTTTCTGGGGGCAGTGGACAGTGTCAGTTGGGAGAGAACAGGGACTGGATGAATAAACAGAACCTGTACCCCCTTATATCATGTGTCCCTATCACAGTTCCCCTTACATCAGATGTCCTCACATGGGACCAACTACTACCAAAGGCTAATGACACAAAACTAAACGTCTTTGGCTGCACTCATGAATGCTATTGCTGGAGGACAAAATAGGAAAGAGAAGGAGAGGAGGGAGAGAGATTTGGAGGAAAGAAGGATGAAAGGAAGATAGGATGAAAGAAAGGAGGGGAAGAAGGTTGGACTTACATGGCTAGCCCCTGGCTTACTGGCTCAGTCAGCAGCATTACAGAGCTATTGGCTGCTTTCTATATAATTTCCCACAGGGGAAGGCATAGCAGATCCAGCCTCTCTCTCTCTCCTATTGGTGCAGAGGATGGGGGATGATCGGTGCAGTGGTGGGGGCAGTGGCAAGCACCAATCTCTCTGTATGGCTTTCAATGAAGCATCTGGAAGTGGTGGGAGGGAGAGGAGATCTGCTTTCAGCTGCTTCATTGAAAGCCATACAGGGAGATTGGTGCTTGTCACTGCACTGATCATCCCCAACTTTGCTCCTGATAATCTCATCCATGGGTGCAGGGTGTTCACACCACATTGGGCCCCTCCAGTTGACACCCTGCACCCATGGATGATACGCCGCTGTTTTACATGCACCCTTTAGAAACTTCAGACCAGATATTTTAGATGAACAAAGTCCTTTTATGGAAGTAGTTAAAGGCAACAGACAGTTCTTCAAGACATCTTCCACACACTTTCCTGTGCAAAGTTCTCTAGTGCCACGAGGTAGTGATACCTTAGATAAATGGCAAGGTCTATAAAACCATCCTTTTTAAGGCAAGACTCTATTTGGGCAGTAAATCCACAAGAGATAGTAATCATCCTTAAGAAGGGTCCATCACAAGGCAGCATACAAACAATACGAACAGGCTCCAAACCCCACTGGGAACCCTAACTGGGCTCGCCAAAGGAGCGCTCAAACTGACTGCATAATTGCTACATCTTGGCAATCTTTCACTAACCAAAGACCCCATTGGGGCTAATGAGCCCCTGTTTATGTGGTATGACCTGCAGGGAGTGGTAACCTTCTGAAAAAGAGTGGGAAAACCTGTCCAGCAGTGTTATCCCTTCCCATCTCAAATCCACTAACTCAGCAGGTCAAATAAGGACAACAGTTGCAACAAAATACATTGTAACATAGTCTGTGCACATAAACATAGTTGACCTGAGTAACTCCAGAGCTTGCACACAGCAGAAGAAAAACTTTAAACTCTTTGGAATCACCTGCTTACAGGCAGATCACTGTAAAATGTGCCAAATGTGTTATTTTATATTACTCATGTTTTTACGATTGGTAAATAAAATTAAACTTTGATTAACCTTCGTAAAAGTCAATCAAACTTCATTGCATTGCATTATTATCTAATCTTTTACTAATTGTATCTTTGAGGTCAAGGGCTTGATACAGCAAAGGTATCCGAAGATAGATAGCTACAGTTGTTGGTTGCAAAATTCTCATGTTGCCTGTTTTGGAATTAAATACCTCATTCACCACATTGGTGTCCCTTTATGACACACAGAATAGCTGCGATTCAACAGATCTCAGCTATTCTCTGGTCATTCACAGTTTGACACTCAGGAGATCATGTCAGCCCTTCTCTGGAGACCTGTGTTCTCCCTCCAGATTCTCCAGCCCAGAGCTGGAGAATCAGAGGGACCGCAAACTAAGCAGAGATAATTTACCTCTGTTTAGTAAACTGATCTTTTACTGTAATCTCGCGAGATTATAGTAAAATGAGCCGTTTTTCAGAGTTTGTAGACCGTTCTCCAGCGTTTGGAGACCGTTCTCCCTTAGTTCTGATAACTGCTTCATAAACTGCATTCACAGGAGAACTGTGTTCTCAGAGAATGCCGGAGAACTGAGCAGCGATCTATTACCGCTGGTTCACAAACGGACACCATAGTCTTTACCTAAAACAGATCTCTGGTCAGCTTGTAAAATTGCCCTTTGGGAGCTCCCCACTTGTATAGTAAGGCTTTAATGATCTTTGTTCGGTCTAGAGGGCTATACCAGAGAAACATACAACATGTATGTACCTTATCCTTTGCTGCTCTGGCAGAGAGCTATTGCTGACCTTTTCTTCTACTGCCCATGCTAGCTCCCTGACGTCCACTTTGATGCTTGAGGTTTAATTTTACAACTCCATGGCCTGGAACAAGTATATAAATGAAGAGGGTTTTTTTTACTGTCATTTGCTCAATGCGTATTCCAGATTGATTCCTAATGAGACCAGACACTGATAAACCGCATTTTTAAAAGGTGGTCAACCATTAGTAACCCCATATTTTCCTTTTTTCTAAATGCATGTTTAATAATAAAAATATACAGGTAGATTTATAGATCTGTACAATGCTTTTTTTTTTCAGTCTGGATCTGTACTGTGGTGATCATTTACTGGAGTGATCATTTACTAATTGTGAGAACTTTACAATCACGGTTATGTGCATTTATTTACATACACCAGTGAGGAATATTTGTTAATCATATTAGCGACAAAAAAGGGCATCCGATGCAGGCAGTTGCAGAACTGTGGTTCAACCTTTTCAAGATTAAAATGGGCAGTGAGGAGGCAACATATAATTTTCCAGCTGCCTATCTGATATGTAGTTCTTTTCTGTTTTTAGGACTGAAGGGGTTAATGATCGCGGTAATCATGGCTGCCCTGATGAGTTCACTCACGTCCATCTTCAATAGTGCCAGCACTATTTTCACGCTAGACATCTGGTTATACTTCCGCAAGAATGCAAAGGATCGGGAGCTTGTAATTGTGGGTAGGTAAGTACTGCTTCTTATAAGTTAGAGCCCAATTTCAGCATCCAGGGTTTTTTAAAGATGCCTGTGTCATACACTACTTGCCTGCTCCAGTACTGCCCCCTAAGTCCTTCTTTGTGGTCCAATGTTGGCCCTCCTCCAGGATGAATGATGGCCAGCACCATTTAGCATGATTCCTTTGAACCCAGAGCGTCAAGAACATGAATATAAATAATGCAGTATTCTAGATGCAGTACAATATTGTTGATTAAAGTGGTTGTAAAGCCTTAGGGATTTTTTTTTTTTTACTTTAGCACATTCTATGCTTTAGGGTATAGGTTAAAATTCTTCTGTGCCTGGGATCCCCCCTCCCCCGCCACCTTATACTTAACTGTGCCCTATTACGATTCAGCGCTCTCCTGTCTCTGTCCCTCCTCACTAAGCAGATCAATATCAGCGGGAGCCATGCTGCTTCTGTCAAAACTCTGTGACAAGGGAGCAGGAGATGGTGGGACCATGCTGCCGCTGTCTGTGTTTATGGACAAAGGCAGCAGAGGTCAGGAGCGACCATAGGCGCACTGAATGAAGAGGAGCCAGAAGCGTTGGCAGAGGACCTGAGAAGTAGGGGATTGTGGCTGCTCTGTGCAAAACCATTGCACAGAGCAGGTAAGTATAACATGTTTATTATTTTATTTTTTTTTTATTTAAGCTTTACAACCACTTTAAAGAAAAAATATAGACAAGCCTATACATAGTTGATATGTAGATATATAGCCATCAACCTGGTCACTTCTTCTTCATAAAGAATCTTTATTGGCACACAATAGGAGATACAAGATCCATAAAAAAAAACACATTTCGACCAAAGCCTTTCTCCTGCTATGAGGAAGGCTTTGGCCAAAACGCGTTAGATTTATGAATCTTGTATCTCCTATTGTGTGCCAATAAAGATTCTTTATGAAGAAGTGATCAAGTTGCTGGCTATATTTCTACATGTCTTGAAGTAAACGTTCCAGCCTGAGTACCAGCTTTCTGCTCTCATTCCTTTTTCACATAGCAGTAGAGCTTGGGTGAATCTTTTGATTTGTATATATAGTTGATGCATACAGTACTGTACTTGTGAATTGCTGTACCTCCCAAAATATTTGTAATTCTGTTCAGACACTTTTTTTTTTTTTTTCCTTACACAACCCCACCAGACAACTCAGTAACGCCCTAAATGTCTCTGAAGAATGCATAGCAGCAAATGCATAAATCCATCCAAAACGTGTTTTTGTTTTTGATTGGAGCCTCGTTCAGATTTTTATTGCAATCTATGTTCCTATTGAGCAAATTGATAAATGTTTTCCCATTGCTCACAATACCAGAGCCTTGGTATGGTTGCTTTATTGACCAATGGCTGTCGATGTGTAATACTGCACATTCATAGAATGTTCTCAGCAAAGACCAGCTCTAGGCAAAATAAGAAATGTTCCTATCCTTTCCTTCCACCCCCCCTCTCTATCCCGTCATGTAAGACTATTTTTTCTCTTACCTGGTGAAGGAAGATCTACTCGCCTAAATCCACCATTCTGGTCCTCTGCCAGTGCAGGTTCCAGATGTGAGCACCACCACATTACATGCACAATGTAGACACCTTAGGCAGGACCTTGCCATAAAGAAAATGGAGGAGTAAAGGATCCATGACACAAAAGTTACATGACCACAGATTTAGGTACATAAAAAGGGTTCTTTTTTCTAGAACAGGGGTCTCTAAACTATCTAAACAAAGGACCAGTTTACTCTTCTTCAGATTTTAGGGGGTTCTACAATGGCCAGTGAAAGTAGAAAATGTGCTGGTGTCAGTAACAATACCACATCATTGGTGTCCATGAGAGAAATAGTGCCCTGTTATTGGCATTAGTGGGAGGAATAGCTTCCCATCATTGGTGTCAGTTGGAGGAATAGTGCCCCATCGTTGGTGTTAGTGGGAGGAATAGTGCCCCACTGTTGGTGTCATTGGCAGCAATTATGCCCCATTGTTAATGTCAGTGAGAGTAATAGTGCCCAAGGGCCGGATAAAGGCAAGCAAAGGGCCACATCCGGCTCTTGGGATGCACTTTGGAGACCACTGAGCTGAAAGGTAGCAGGAGGAATGAGAAGGGTGTTTTGGCCACAGTTGGGGTTTAATTCACTGCAAAAAGTAGGTAAGTAAAATCACAGCATAATACAACATTTCAGAACGAGACTCCTGAGTCACACATACCTCGATGGAGTCCTGTGTTCTTCTCAAACAATGCATAGTGTGATTTTATTATAATATAATACATTTTGGATTTTCTGTAAGGATTAAGTTGGTTCGATTACCTATCGTATTGGGGGAATTTCCCTTCACTTCAAGTCAGGGCAGAAGAATTTGGAAACGTTGACAATGAGAACACGTAAAAACGGGTTAAAACTTATGACTTTGTTTGTTTTTTTTCTGTCCCAGTAATTAAACAGGGGAGTCGCAGGGACAGGGAATGAGGGGGAAAACTCCCTGATGGGGTCAGGTTTAATTTTTTTCTTCATTCTGTTTTAAAACTTAAATTTTTTTTTTTTTAAATCTAGTTAAAGCTTAGCTTCCATTAGTACAGCATGGTCCAGGACCTTTTCCAACCTAAAAGGCATATGATCTAAATTATAAATTTTTTTTCAGAGTTTTTACCGCACTCCTTGTAATTATCAGTATCCTATGGATCCCCGTTATCCAACACGTGAGTAGTGGAATAGTTGACTATGTGCAATCCATCAACAGCTACCTGACCCCCACCACTGACTGCCATATTTATTCTTGCTATCTTCTTCAAGAGGGTCAATGAACAGGTAAGATTTCAATTTGGCCTAGAATCTTATTTCTACAGAACACATTGACATGTCATATTGAGATTCCTAGTGTTCTCTCACAACTAAAATGTACATTAACCACCTGCTGTCCATAGGATTTACCCCCCTTCCTGACCAGGCCATTTTTTTTTTGCATTACGGCGCTGGTATTTTAACTGACAATTGTGCAGTCATTCAACGCTGCACCCAAATGACATTTACGTCCTTTTTCCCCCTACGAATTGAGCTTTCTTTCGGTGGTATTTGATAGCCTGTGCATTTTTTTTTTTGGGGGGGGGGGGGGTTTGCGCTATTTAAAAAAAAAAAAAAGAATTTTTAGAAAAAAAAATACTTTTGACTTTTTGCTATTAAACATGTCCAGTAACAAAATTTAAAAAACACATTTCATCATAAATTTAGGCCAAAATGTATTCTGCTACAAGACTTTACTAAAAAAAAAAAAAAAACAAAAAAAAAAAACCCCAATACATGTAAATTTGGTTTACGTGAAAGTTATAGCGTTTACAAATGGTGGCACAGATACTGGAATGTGTGTGTGTGTTTTTTGTTTGTTTGTTTTTTTTTTTTTTTTAATTTTTACTAGTAATGGCGGCGATCAGCAACTTATGGCAGGACTGCAACGGGCATCCTGACACTGGGGGGAACTGACATCCCCAGTGACACCAATATAGTGATCCGTGCTATGAAAAAGCACTGACACTGTACTAAGGTCACTGGGCACGAAGGGGTTAACATGAGGGGTGATCAAAGGGTTAATTGTGTGCTGTTTTACTTGTGCCTGTGTGTGTGTGTTTTTACACTATAATCACACTGCTTTACATGACTGTGCTGTGCACAGCCATTCAAAGCAGTGTACACAAGCTGACAGGGAAGAGTGCTGTATTGTTTACATAGTTCTCCCCGTCGGAGATGCTCGGCAATCACCGGGTGCCGGAGAGTAATCATCGGACAGGACCCAGTGATTGACAGTCATTGGCGCAAACGGCGGCGCAGGTAGGGCTTGCGCCCCCTACCCGGAAATGCAAAATCACGTGTGTGTATATATACGTGATTTTGCGTACCCATGTCTACCTGTAGCAGTGTATCTGTTATAGGGCGGTCAGGAAGCGCTTAAACATAAGACCATTTACATCAATGTAGTGTGGATGATCGTTCTGAGGCTGTGTTGTACTGAAGTCTCACTGAGATTTTCATGGATCACAGGCAAAAAGCAGGTCAAAACACAACCTTTTGCTACATTTTATGTCCCAAGATATTTCATGTTGGACAGAATGTGAAGGAAAATCCCCTAACTGGACATTCAAATTTGAGAAAAAAGAACTGACCGGTGTTTGAAGCACTCCCTACTCTATGCAAAATAATTTTATAGTGTGTATGTGTGTTTGTATATACACTATATTACCCAGTATTAAGGCATCCCTCTGAATCATTGGATTCAGATGTTTCAATCATCTCCATGGCCACAGGTGTATAAAATCAAGCACCTAGGCATACAGACTGCTTCTACAAATATTTTTGAAAGAATGGGTCGCTGTCAGGAGCTCAGTGAATCCAAGCGTGGTACTGTGATAGGTTGTCACCTGTCCAATAAGTCCATCCGTGAAATTTCCTGACTACTAAAATATTCCACGCTCAACTGTTAGTGGTATTATAAACAAGTAGTAGAAGCAACTCGGAACAACAGCAACTCAGCCGCAAAAGTGGTAGGCCACGTAAAATGACAGAGCTGGGTCAACACATGCTGAAGTGTGCAGAAGTAGCCAACTGTCTGCAAAGTCAATAGCTAAAGACCTCCAAACTTCATGTGGCCTTCAGGTTATCACAACAACAGTGCATAGAGAGCTTCATGGAATGGGTTTCCATGGCCGGGCAGCTGCATCCAAGTCTTACATCACCAAGTGCAATGCAAAGCGTCAGATGCAGTGGTGAAAAGCATGCTGCCCACTGGACTCTAGAGCAGTGGAGACATGTTCTCTGGAGTGGCCAATCACACTTCTCTGTCTGGCAATCCGATGGACATGTCTGGGTTTGTTGGTTGCCAAGAGATCGGTACTTGTGTGACTGCATTGTGCCAAGTGTAAAGTTTTGGTGGAGGGGGGATTATTATGGTGTGGGTCATTTTTCAGGTTTTGGGCTTGGCCCCTTAATTCCAATGAAGGGAACTCTTAAGACATTAGCATACCAAGAGATTTTGGACAATTTCATGCTCCCAACTTTGGGGGAACAGTTTGGGGATGGCCCCTTCCTGTTCCAACATGACTGCACACCAGTTGCACAAAGCAAGGTCCATAAAGACATGGATGAGTGAGTTTGAGGGGTGGAGGAACTTGACTGGCCTGCACAGAGTCCTGATCTCAACCTGATAAAACACCTTTTGGGATGAATTAAAGTCCTGACCTCACAAATGTGCTTCTGGAAGAATGGTCAAACATTCCCATAAGACACCCTCCTAAACCTTGTGGACAAGCCTTCCCAGAAGAGTTGAAGCTGTTATAGCTGCAAAGGGCGGGACCAACTCAATATTGAATCCTACGGACTAAGACTGGGATGCCATTTTAAAGTTCATGTGTGTGGAAAGGCAGGCGTCCAAATACTTTTGGCAATAATAGTGTATGTATGTATACAGTTGCAAGAAAAAGTATGTGAACCCTTTTGGGATTACGTGGAGTTTTGCATGAATTGGGCATAAAAAATGTGCTCTGAACGTCATCTAAGTCACAACATTTAGAAGAACACAGTCTGCTGAACATAATACTACACAAACATTAGATGTTTGCCATGGTTTAATTGCACATAACATGTAAAACATTCACAGTGCAGGGAGGAAAAAGTATGTGAACCTTTGGACTTAATAACTGGTTGACCCTCCTTTAGCAGCAATAACCTCAACCAAACATTTCCTGTAGTTGCAGATCAGACCTGCAAAAACAACAATCTGGAGTAATTTTGGACCACTCCTCTTCACAAAACGGTTTCAGTGTAGCAATATTCTTGGGATGTCTGGTGTGAATCGCTCTCTTAAGGTCATGCCACAGCATTTCAATCGGGTTGAGGTCAGGACTCTGACTAGGCCACTCCAGAAGGCATATTCTGTGCTGTTGCAGCCATTGTTTTGTTGAATTACTTGTATGCTTTGGGTCATTGTCCTGTTGCATCACCCATCCTCTGCGGAGCTTCAGTTGGCGGACAGATGGTCGTACGTTTTCCTGCAAAATGTCTTGATAAACTCTGGAATTCATTTTCCCATCAATGACAACAATCCGTCCAGGCCCTGAGGCAGCAAAGCAGCCCCCAAACCATGATGCTCCCTCCGCGATGTTTTACAGTGGGGGTGAGGTTTTGATGTTGGTGTGCTGTGCCTTTTTTTTTTTCTCCACACATAGTGTTGTATGTTCTTCCCAAACAACTCAATCTTGGTTTCATCTGTCCACAGTATATTTTGCCAGTAGTGCTGTGGAACATCCAGGTGCTCTTTTGCAAACTTCAAACGTGCTTGCAATATTCTTTTTGGACAGCAATGGCTTCCTCCGTGGTGTCCTCCCATGTACTCCCTTCTTGTTTAATGTTTTCCTTATTATAGACGTGTCAACAAAAATGTAAGCATGTGCCAGAGATTTCTGTAGGTCTTTAACTGACACTCTGGGATCCTTCATTACCTCATGCAGCATTCTGCGCTGTGCTCTTGCAGTCATTTTTACAGGATGACCCCGCCTAGGGAGAGTAGCAACAGTGCTAAACTTTCTCCATTTGTAGACAGTCTGTCTTACTGTGGACACATGAACATCAAGGCTTTTGGAGATACCTTTGTAACCCTTTCCAGCTTCATGCAAGTCAACAATTCTTGATCGTAGGTCTTCTGAGAGCTCTTTTCTGCGAGGCATGGTTCACATCAGACAGTGCTTCTTGAAACCAGTAAACCCAAAACAGGTGTGTTTTTTTTTAAGGGCAGGACAGCTGTCAGCAACACATCCAATATCATCACACTGATTGGAGTCAAGGTTGGCTCACTCCTGGCTCCAATTAGCTCTGGGAGAAGTCATTAAGCTAGGGCCTCACATACTTTTTCCTCCCTGCACTGTGAATGTTTACATGTTATGTGCAATTACACCATGGCAACATCTAATGTTTGTGTAGTATTATGTTCAGCAGACTGTGTTCTTCTATTGTTGTGACTTAGATGACGTTCAGAGCACATTTTATGCCCAGTTCATGCAAAACTCCACGTAATCCCAAGGGGTTCACATACTTTTTCTTGCAAGTGTGTGTGTGTGTGTGTGTGTGTGTGTGTGTGTGTATGTATATGTGTGTGTGTGTGTTGTGCTTTGTTTTTAGTTACATACTTGTATTTTTTTATTTTTTTTTTTCTTGTTTAAATTCATCTGTAGCCGGCCTGAATTTTTTTCTATGTGTCCTTTTTTTTCAATTAAATTTGTTCCTGTTTGAGCTGTGAAGACATACTTACAAGTTAAAAGCCTTTTACCTTTCCTGTGTTCAAAGGGTGCATTCTGGGCTCTGATAATTGGGATGCTAATTGGATTCATCCGGATGGTCATGGATTTTGTATACGGTGAACCAAAGTGCGGACAGCTGGACAGACGACCGTCAATCATCAAGGATGTGCATTACTTGTACTTTACAATAATTCTATTTGGGTTGACAACTATTATATGCATTGTGATTAGTTTGTGCAGCCCGGCCATTCCAGAAGAGCAGGTCAGTGTTTCTCTAGCATCTAGGGACTTACAGCTGATAATTATGTATAACGACATCTGGGCTAAATCCCAATGAAAGTTTAAAAGGAACTCCAGTCATTTGTAAGAAAAAATAAATACTGTAGCTGCTGACTTTTAATAAACAGACACTCCCCAGACCAGGGATCCAGCGCTGTCATCACTGGGGCTGGTCCTTCGCTGGTCGTTGGGTCCCCAGTGCCACCATCTTGACTGTGGAAATCCAGCTGAGACTTCCTGATGAT